TACAAAAACAAAACTTTAAGCGATACTCGCGTGACAAAAAGAGCGATATTGTCATTGATCGGAAAGCTTTTTGACCCATTGGGATTTTTATCCCTAATCATAATAACGGCAAAATTAATTATGCAATCGTTATGGCAAATCAAAGTAGATTGGGATGAATCGTTACCAATCGAAATCCATACGCGAGGGATTAATTTTATTGAGAATCTATCCAACCTGGATCAAATTAAAATAAATCGGCGTATCATGTGCGACCAATATGATTCAATCGAACTACACGGATTCTGCGATGCGTCCCAAGTTGCATATGGAGCGTGCATTTAGGTACAAAAAAATACGTACGACGACATGCAAGTACTTGTGCCACCATCGCAGTACCATTCCGTTCCGTTTCAACCATCGTGGATGACGGATGTGTCTGAGTAATAACTGAGCGAACCGAGCTCTTCACTTAGTACATCCTAAATTCATCGAGTGCGTTCGAAATTAAAGTTAAACACACAACTCACAAACCGTGCCCAATCTTGTTGGGTGCAAATGAATTTAATTCCAATGCGAATATTTCGCAAATAAACGAAAAAATGCTGAGCATTGCTAAAAAAGCAATTGAAGGTCCCGGACATTCTCCAAAAAAACCGAAAATGGACATCCCGCAAATAATACCAGAATGCAGTTCTGCGCAAAGAACCACAACAAGACTGCAAGAACAATTGCAAAGCAAACATAGTGTAAAAACCCAAAACAAATTTAGTCCTCTTGAAAGAAATGAAGAGATGGATGTGGCTAAAGCCCAACCGTCGAAAGAAACCAAGCCCAACCGTCGAAAGAAACCAAGCCACCGCCAATCATTATACGCAACCGCCCAAAACACCATCCGAATTTGAGCGAATACTTATTGACGTAGTAGGAAAAGAAAAATTCTGGATTAGGTGGTCCTCCGAAAGGACCACGATATACTGCAAGTCCAAGGAAGATCGCACAAAACTACTTCAACATGTAAAAGAAGCAGGGACGGACTTCTACTCGTTCACACCAAAAGATGAAAGAAAACACGCCAAAATCATATACAACCTGTACACAGAAAAAAAGCTGTTACATGAAATTAAAACTAAACTGAATGCTCATCGTGTCATGCGACTTAAGAATACAATAGAACCAATATATATGGTATTATTATATGTAAATCACTCCATCCAAGAACTAAACAGGAAGTGTAGCTTTATTGAGCATACCAGAAGCCAATGGGCAAACTATAAAAAACAACAAAAAAGACATAACACAGTGTAAACGTTGCCAAGAACACAACAACAAACTGTGACACAAAGTACGTGTGTGTAAAGTACGGTGAAGGACACCCGACATTTGAATGAAATTTACCACAAAACATGCCAGCGAAGTGTGCAAACTGCTCAATGCAACATCCCGCAAACTCAAAAGATTGGCCCTCGCCAAAATGCAAAAGATGAAAATAAAGACGCCACAACCCAGCAAATTGCCACACCATCGCAAAGATTCATCACTATCCAGACACACGGAAATTCAGGTACAGTCTTATCAAAAGTCCTTCCCTACCCTTCCTACATGCAACATGGCCTCATCCGCCATTCCACTACCAACAACTCAGAACACTAAGAGAGAACACAAAGGAAAGATAATATGCAAAGTTTTAACGAGTTAATTGCAGAAATTAACAAGCTTCACCAGATGATAGATATAGACAAAATGTTGAAACTAGTGTTAGTGAAATGCGTAGCTTAGGCAACCAACAACATATAACATACAATACATTATTTTTCCACGCAACAGGTATGAGCAGAGCGTAGTGGACGCTGATTAAGAAACGCCATATTAAAGAAACTCTATTCGACACTCTTTTTACAATCATAAGTGATCATTGTTTAATGCTTACCTTTAATTTTTCCGCGCCAACGGAAGGTTCCCCGAGAACCAGTCTATCGTCTACATGCGCATTGATGACGACCTGATTTTTACGTACCGGAGTGATGATCCGTTCTCTGCTTTGGAAATCGAGGCCAAGAAGCGCGCGTCAAATCGAGTGACGATGGAAGCGAACATTCCACCTTCTCCGTAAACCTGGCAGAGGTTGTCTCAGGTACGGAAACGCATGCTTTTCCACTTATTAATTGGGCGATTGATTGAGTCTGTTTCGGGGTGAGGTACTGAATTTGGAGCAAGCTGAGCCCCGCCAGCAACCCATTCCACTCGACGTCATCAACGTGGACGACAACTTGGATGGACACAGTCAACGAACGGCACGGCCTCCTCAACGAGTTCCGCGACACCATTGCGATCGATTCCTCCGAGTTAGGATGCACAACGGTCTTACAAATGGACATCACCGAGGTGCCGGGCAGTCAACCCGTGCGTCAGAAGCCTTACAGATGTAGTACCAATGAGCGCGAGACGCTCAACACCATCATCAATTAATACAGAGATGCAGGTCTAGTCACCGACACGACCTCACCAGCGCCAACCCTGTACTGCTGGTGAAGAAGAACACTGGGGAGTACCGGATGGTTGTCGACTACCTTCGGTTGAACAACCAGACCGAACCATTGCCATTTCCGCTGCCCGATATGGACAAACATCTGACACAGATTCGCGATGCAAGGTACTTCACGATACTCGATTTGGCTCATGGTTACCTCCAGGTACCATTGTTGGAAGTAGCACGCAGAAAGATAGCTTTTATTACTCCGGACCAAACGGGTGAGTTTACCAGAATGGTATTTGGCTAACTAATGCCCCCTCGTACTTCTCAAAATTAATGCAAAAGGTTTTGGGTCCTCTCCGTAATGACACGGTGCTGTACTACTTTGATGACATCCTCATACTTGGGCGCGATTGGAAGGACATGCGAGCCAGGTTAACCAAGACTCTGATGGCGTTGAGAGGTGCCGGATTAATACTGAGGATCGAGAAATGCTACTTCATACAGGAACGTGTGAAGTATTTGGGGTTCAATCTGAGTGCCGATGGCATAGAGCCTGGCCCCACGAAACTACGAGCAATTTCAGAGTATCCTGCCCCCACAGATATCCACCAGCCACGGCGTTTCCAGGAAATGCCTAGTTTCTTTGGTCATTTTATAGCCAATTCTTGTTCCAGGGCCGCCATTTTATAGCCAATTTTTGTTCCAGGGCCGCCATTTTGAATAAATTGCTCCGTAATAATTAATCCTACATTTGGACGTCTGCCCATGATGCTGCCTTTAGAGATCTCTGACCCAGGGCCCGGTACTCAAAATTTTCGACTCGAAACGTCCGACCTACCTGCACACAAACGCGAGCAGCCAAGGCCTGCGTGCTATGTTGTTGCAGAAACACGAGGACAAACTTCACTTGGTCTATGCAGTAAGTCGCAGGACTAGCGATGTCGAATGTAACTACCACTCGAGTAAACTCGAACTGCTGACCGTGGTATGGGCTGACGAGAAACTCCTACATTTTCTCATCAATATTCCTTTCACTGTGGTCATCGACTGCCAGGCGATAGTGTTCCTGAATACTGCCGAAACCAAATATCCACAAGTAGCAAGGTGGTTCAATATGTTATGTGAATACAACTTCAAAGTAGAACATCGTTCTGGCGATAAGATGACACATGTTGACGCACTGAGTCGCGCACTAGTTTCAAACGAGGGTTTAATCATCTGCCCTCACAAGTGCCACACCTAACAGTACTTCGGACCAAGAAGTTCAACGACGTCTGGTGCGATTATATGGACGTGTTTACGAAAAGCCCAACGGAACTGAGAACTACGAGAGTGATGATTGTCGACATCCGAGACTCCAACGTACCTTCAAAACATATCGGGTGAGTCAGGACGACCTCCGAGAACGCCTCCCGTATTACTCGTACCGAAGACGGATGGAGAAAAGCAATTAATGGTTGACTACCGACGGCTCAACCACCAGACGTAGCGTACGAACTTATCTGGGCGACTGTTTCGAGACGTTGGCAGGTTGCAAGGTATATTCCGTAAAGTATATTCCGGGCTGGATCTTATGTCCGGCTACCTGCAGGTATCGCTAACGGAGAAGGTCAAACTTACGACTGCCTCTCGCACACCCGACGATACGGCTGAGTTCGAGGAGAAGCCGTGTGGGCTGACAAATGCGCCATACGAGTTCTCGAGGCTAATGAGCATTTGCCTGGAACCCCTGAGAGAAAAGATGATAAGCAACTATTTTGACAACGTCCTCATGCCCGCTGCAAATGAGGGACAGATGTTGGAGCACTGCAGTTAGTTTTTGACCGTTTGCGAACCACCGAACTTACATTCAATTTGCGTAAATGCAAATTCTTTAAATCAGAACTAATCTTTTTGTGTTTCGAGTTGGTTGTTGAAGGCATGCGCCCAGGAAAAACAAATCCAACAGTTTCTGGTGCCTCGAGATGTCCATGAGGTCTGCTGTTTTCTCGCTGATTTTTCAGACGCTTTATCCGAGACTACGCTATTCTATGTAAACCTCTGACGGAACTGACCAAGAAAGAGACGGCGTTTGGCTGGACCACACAACAGCAGAAAGCCTTCGAGAAAAGGATCAGCTCCACCGGGGGGCCAGGTGCTACGCATATACGACCAAGCTGCACTGTGACGCTTTCGCAATGGGAGATATGCGAATTGGGGATACTGCTCCAACAAGACATAGGCGACGAACCAGCTCCTCCACGCGCAGGCAACAGCCGAGAGCGGCTACGACCAGCCTGGCTAAAGGATTATACAACAGGAAATGAAGAGCGCGGGGATGCGTCTTGGTCAGGAAGGGCCGAATGTTAAGTACGGTTTTGTGACATAGTCGGATGGGCTGGCGCGCAAGCGCAGCGAGTTCTTGTTCGAGCTCTCGAGCCGAACAGACGTGTGCAGGTAGTGCTCCGTCTCAACCCTCGTGGGTGACGGACGTGTACCTAGCCGAAGCGTAGCCATCGAGGCAAACAAGCGAATAAGAGTGAAAAAAAGAACAAAAATTAAAATAATGAATAAAGAAAAGAAGAACACATGCTCAACAGTGTTGGGCACAAATGCTGCCAAGCGAGCAATTGCAAACGAAGAAATTCCGAATCATCAAAACACAAAACAAATGAAAATGGACATGGAGATGACAGAACCACTTCCACCAGTAAGATCGCTCAACGATTCCAGGAGCAGTTACAGTATAATGTAAGAACGACAACAAATTTGCTGCTCTGCAGGATGTTAAGGAAACTGAATCACAACGTAAAAAACTGAGTAAACCAACGCCAATCATAATCCAGACATGTCCGAAATCACCTTCAGTGTTCACAAGAACCTTGGTTGACCTTATTAGCAAAGATAAATTCTGGCTGAGAATCTCAACAGGAAGAACAACAGTTTACTGCAAGGAACATGCAGACAGATGAAAGATAACTGAACACCTAAAAGAGGCAAAAAGTGATTTTTTCTCGTTCACTCCTAAACACGAGAAAAAATACGCGAAGGTAATCTACAACCTGCACACCGACTACGACGAATAAGAAATCAAATAAAACAGATATACGGCAGTGCAAACGCTGCCAACAATGGGGACATGCAACCTCAAACTCCAACACCCGGTTTGCATGCCTGGAGTGTGCGAATAACCACGAGACATGGAAGTGTGACCATCCCAGGGAGTTGCCAGCAAAATGCGCAAACGGCCATTAAGAACACCCCGCCAACTCCAAGGAATGCAAAGCATACAAGGAGGCAGTCCTGGCAAGGCGTAAATTCAACAAACCAGCGCATCCAGAAAGAATAAACACCACAAACCAGGATAGTTTCCTGTCCCAAAACTTTCCAAAACTTCCTGCATGCGATATGTCATCTTCCGCCATACCATTACCGACAACTATTCCTAGCCTACCTAAAGCCCCACCCACAAACACAAACGAAAACTATGCAAATTTTAATGAATTAATGGCAGAAATAAATAAACTGCATCAATCAATAAACATCAGTAGAATGCTGCAATTAGTTAAAGATCTAAACAATAGATTAGTGGGAACTACCACAACAGCTGAAAAGTTTAATACTTTTATCACATTTACGCAGAGCATTCATGACTAATTTGTCTATAGATCTTTGGAACGCCAACGGAATTCAAAACAAATTTGCACAATTACAACGTGCGAATAATGGCAGTTAACGAGACCAAAATTTGCGATGCAAATAAAATAAAACTAAAAAATTATGAAATTGTTCGGAAAGACCGCGATGCAAATGGTGGTGGTGTTGCATTCTTAATCCGTAAAAACGTTTCGTTTATTGGCTGCAAATAAAAATTAGTAATAATATTACCATATCGACATGGTATAACCCACCTAATAATCTGGTTATCGCAAACGATTTCATCAGAATTTTAGCAAAACCAGGTAAACAAATACTTATAGGGGATCAAAATTCCAAACACAAACTTTGGAATTGCTGCTCATATAACACAAATGGTATGGTCATTATGCACTACTTTGAGTAGTAACAGTGCTTGCCTGGTACATTCTGACGAACCCACGCACTATCCAAATAATGACAATAAACCGACCACCTTGGATATTGGTTTAACGAAAAACATTGCGGGAAAAGCCACAACCATAAATGAGCTTAGCTCCGACCATCTGCCTGTTCTATTCGAGTTTAATCACCGAGTCGCGAGAGAAAACGAAACAATTTTTAGATGGGATTACCATAGTGCAGATTGGAATTCATTTCGGAAAGTACTTAACGAAATTACAGAAATTCCCAGGTACATAAACTCGCCAACAGACTTAGATAACCAAGTGCAAACGCTCACTAACAATATCACAACGGCCATAAATACTAACATTAAACAAAAATGCATTTGACGTAATACCAACACAAACACTTATTAAAATAAAACAAAGAAATGCAATTCCCCGAAGACATCAACGCATTGGAAACACAAGTCTACTTCGGAAATGTTCACACCTTTCATTTGAAATTAAAAATGAAATTCGTGAACATAAAAACGAAGCGTGGTCAAAACGACTGAAGACATTTACACCAAATAATAACTCAATCTGGAAGTTACTAGCGTCCATGAAACATTCAAACAATATGGTATCACCATTAAAAACTGCCAACGACGGATTTGCGTTTAAAGCAATTGACAAAGCAAATGTACTTGCCGATAAATTCGCATCAATATGTACCATCGACGATCAATTAACTAACGAGCAAATTAAAATATCCCAAGAAGTTAATAACTTCATTGCTCCAAAAACTCATACGAATCACGAAAAATATTGTCAAACCCACGGACATAAAGAACATCATTAAAAAATTACCCGCCACAAAGGCGCCAGGGCCTGACGGTATACAAAACATCGTATTAAAAAAATCTTCCGAAAAAAACAATTGTTCATTTTACCACAATTTTTAACGCAATACTGAGGTTAGGCTACTTTCCAAAGTTGTGGAAATTAGCAGAGGTAATTCCATTTCTGAAACCAAAAAAATCTCAACAAGATCCTAGCAACTACCGCCCTATAAGTTTAATTAACACTTTAGGAAAACTTACAGAGCGCGCGATTCTAATTAGTCTTAATAAAGAAATGCAGTCTCAAAATATTCTGCTACCTGAGCAATTTGGTTTCAGAAAGGGACACTCTACTACACATCAATTGGCCCGGGTGTTAACAGATATTAAACAGGCCTGGAACAAAAATGAAATTGCTCACATGGTCCTACTAGACATAGAAAAGGCGTTTGACACTGTGTGGATTACCGGTCTAATCTACAAATTGATCCAAAATAATAACCCAAGTAATGTAATCTATTTAATTCATAGTTATTTAACAGATCGCAAACTCTACGTGAAAATTGCAAATAAAAAATCAGAAGCTAAATCCATTAATGCAGGCGTTCCGCAAGGATCAGTGCTGGGGCCAATGTTATTTAGTTTATATATTAATGACCTACCAAAAACGAACAACACAAAACTTGCGCTATTTGCAGATGACACTATTTTATATAGCACATCGGATAATGAAAATATTGGACGCAAAAAGCTGCAAAACCACTTGCTGTTGAGAAATTTTACAAGCAGTGGAAAATAAATGTAAATACCAATAAATCTGAACTATTAACAGCAACAAGGAGACGAAAACTACAACGCACAAATATGACCGTTGTGCTAAATTCCCAACAAATACCAGAAAAAACGGAGGTCAAATATTTAGGAGTGACCATAGACCGGAAGCTCACTTTTAAAAAACACGTAGAAAACACCATCATAAAAGCAAATGCGGCCCTAATGCAACTATACTCGTAAATGCATAGAAACAGCGTGCTTAGTGTAAAGAACAAACTGCTACTTTACAAGACTACAATAAGACCACTTTTACAGTAGGCAGCCCCCGCATGGGCACATCATATAGCCAAAACTTATCGAAAAAAGCTACAACAATTCGAGAACAAATGTTTACGAATGGTTGTTAGCGCGGATAGATACACAAGAAATACCACAATCCAGAGGCAATGTAGCATATTGCCTCTTTTAGATTGTATGGACGAAAATAGTAACAAATTTTATTACCAAACGACAAATCACACAAACCCTCTAATTAATAACATTACGAGGCAAAGACTTCCTGGCAAGTACAAGTTACCATATGAACAACTACCTATCTTCCTAAACCCATGGTAAATTAAAACCCACACTGTATCCGAATAGGGTTTTTTTTCAGCTCACTTTTCCTTTATTATAATTATTAACATGTAAATATGACCTGATAAGATGGTATACAGAAAAAGACTGCTATACTATAAGACTGTACACAAAAATAAAATTGAAGACTGAATATCTGTTTATGTAAACGTTTCGTAGGTAATAAGCATAACACTGTAGACATACGTATATATACAATATGTATATATAATCTTTGTAACTGAATCTTTGTAACTGAATTTTTGTAAATAAAGAGTTTATCAATAATAATAGGGATCGCGGAAGACAACAGGCCAGACGGCAGTCGAGTAGAGAACACAGCAGAGAGCGAAGGGTGTTAAAGAGGAGACGAGACGTATTGGATTGTATAAATTTGCGTAAATTATCTTATGCGGAGTTATTTGTTAAATAAATATCAAAAATTAAGAACAATCATCCAACTAACAAACTGTCGTCATATCTTTGCACGACAACAACCAACTGATTAATCCGAGGCCCAACATAACACTCGACTGAAACAACACCACAAGGTCACAAAAGATAAAACTTGAAATGAGACAATATATCAAATGAAAAATGTTTAAAGCAGGAGGGGACAGATAAGTGTAGGAGGTAACAAAGCTTTTTAACAAGATCTTAGATTGAGCACAAACCCCAGATAACTGAAAGTATTCCACAACAGTACCTGAATTCAAAAAAGGTGACAAAGCAGATCCCAACAACTATAGAGAAATACAGAATTTAATTTTAGCGCTGGCCTGAAAATTAATGTTTAATGGTGCCAAACACTTGACATGATGTTTGCTTTCAATTTAATTGGAACTAATTTTAAGACCAATCTTGCAATTAATAATTAATTGTGTCAAACACTTGACAAGATGTTTGCTTTCAATTTAATTGGAACAAATTTTAAAACCAGTCTTGGAATTAATGATTAATTGTGCCAAACACTTGACAAGATGTTTGCTTTCAATTTAATTGGAACACATTTTAAGACCAATCTTGCAATTAATGATTAATTGTGCCAAACACTTGACAAAATGTTGGCTTTCAATTTAATTGGGACAAGTGTTAATAGGCCAATGTTAAGTTGAAAAAGTTACTGGAACTGAATATGTATGCATCCAGATGAAACCATCAAGAAATGCAACACTTGAATGTTGTAGTACGTGCGTAGCCTCAGTTGAGAGTGCATCTCTTTTTGTGTTTAATTATACGTTTAACATTTGCAAGATCAATTAGTATTACAATCCTCGATTCTCCGCGCCATCTTAATACGTTATGGGCTCAGAGCGTATAAGTTAAAATCAGAGAAACAATATTAATTGATCTCGATTGTTATTTTCGTCAAAAAAACTCCAGTTTTTTAAAGATTAAGAAACATGTGCTCGCACCCCTTTATCGTACTAAGCAAATACCACTTAAGTAACAAGTGCTAATTAAACACCACGTATTAAGTAAAGACGAAAA